GTTCCTGGGACGTCGCAACATTTCGACCGGAGCAGGGGATGTCGCGAGCTCGATGGGGTTCGGGGCGTGACATCAGGTATCCTCAAAACCTTGATCTCGTGCTATAGGGGTTCTTTGAACCAAAAATGATGATGGTGCTTTATATCCCTTATTTGTCTTCCGATCAATGTATCTTCATGCCATAATTTTAGGCCAGATCTAAACTTAAATATGAAGATGAGAACTATTAGAGTATTTATATCATTTAAGTATAAAATAATACTTTCATCTAATTATTTAAACTTTTACAATAGTTAGGTTATACAAAATTGTATGTGGCTTTGGAACGGAAAGTTCTGAGTTCAAAATTATTGCACAAGATCGCCAAATTGTGAATAGATACAAACGGTTTGCTGCGAGAATTTAAGTGCAAGAAATTAATAAGATGCCACAGTTTTGCATGATGATCGAACCTTGTGTATTTGTTCAACGGAGAGAGATCGATGATATGTTTCACTTTAAACAAGCAAAAGATAGTAAGTACTGGAACTGCTCAATCACTCTAGTATTTCCCATAGAACAATCACACCCAAAATCCTTAAAAAAAAAAACTAAAAGTTAGATTATGATTTTCTCTAAAAAAAGTCTCTTTAAGAGAGAGATAGAGGAGAGAGAGAGAACGGCGAGGGCCGCTAAATTGAGCTTGAAGACAGTGGTGGATGACGATTGCGCGATGACGATGGGGTTGGGGATACCGTAGTTATGACAGCGGTAGCTATGAAAGAGAGAGAAAGAGAGAGATTGGGGTTTTTCTTTTTTTTATATATATTTATTATTGTGTGATTTTTTGTTTAAATTTACATTTGGATGATGTGCATCTTCTTGTTGTATAACGAGGTGAACAAAGACCTCCTAACACTCACTTTATCTCCCAAAAAATAGAAATTAAAGCCCCAAGGGTATGTATGTATGTCCACAAAGTCAATAATTTTTGGTCAATGACCAAAAGCATAAGTCTTCGTATGAGTGGAGCGACTTCTGCTGCTTCTACCCGGGGGCTTCTTCGTGCTTCTGAAGCCAAAGGCGTTCCCCATAGGGAAACAAATATCTCCGCAACAGAGCTGGGTTGGATATATACACTACGAGAAGACATCAGCCATTAAATTTATGTCCATCGTTCACGTGAAACCTACCAATAATTAAAGTGAACGCTGAACGCTAAAACGTCGTACCATTTTTTAATGAATAGACTATAAATTCTGTGTCCTTCCTTGCCTACCAAGTCGTTTACTCCTTTCGGTAGCTGGCGTTGACGATGCCCCTGCGCCTAACAATAAGTAACCACTCTTCCAAATTAGGTGGAAAATAAATGGAAGGACAACAACGTTAGAACACACGACCGTGTTCCCAAGAACAAGTTCCCAAAACCTTTATTACGGTCTTAAATGTTGGTTCCACTTGGTTTGACGACTATTTGTGATTCACATGCGATTATTGTCGAGCCGATTGAGCAGCAGGATTGAATGCCGCATTGTCTTTGGATCTTGATAAATCACCCATCAAATTCTATGATGGAAGAAAGCCATGATGCTTTTTTTCCAGTGGTGGAGCTAGGAGATTTTCTCAGTGGGGGGCAACAAGGAAAGGAAAATTACTTTTTAACACGGATAAATTTTATTCATGACCCTAAAGTTTGATATTTACTGCAGTCATGGCTATCTATCTCTCGAAATTAGATTTTGTACAGCCAATCCATAGTTATGTGGCTTCAGTCCGCAACTCTTGTTTGTGTGAAATATTGATAACTTTTTACATGTAATCGAGTTAATTTACAACGTAGCCAAAAATGTCATGTAAGAATATCGTTGGAGTTTAAATCACGTGCAATGACGGTAACTTAGATTCAAATAAATGTGGGGAGACTAAAATTGCGCCATAGTTCTAGTCACGGCTATTGCACACGATTAAACTAAATCACACGATGTAATTATGTAATCGACATAGATAGTCCAAATGTCATCCAAAAATATTGTCAAATTTGGCAATCCAAATGCATGTTAGCGACCGTAGTAACATGATGTAGAAGTTTACAGATAGAGTGTGTTTAAAAGTCAAATCCTTTTAAACTGTAAATCAGGCATATTAATTCTAGTAGGCTCATATTATATTTGGTGTCAAAAAATGTAAAACAATCGAGTCAAATTGGCACAATTTAAAAATTGTATGGTCAGTGGGGCACCCCACAAAACATATGCTGGCGCCACCTCTGCTTTTTTCAATAGAAGCAAAGAAATCTAATATAGTCAAAGGACCATATTTTTCTATGACCTTAGTTGGATGGAACTCTCTCCAATCCTATCACTGATTGGTCCATGACCATCATTAAAATTAAATTTTAGTTAAAATTTGTATGTTGGTGATATCCATAACTTGTGGCCTATGGATGATAAGCTTCGTTGGAGGAAAATGTTGCCAATAGACAATATTGGCCCATAAAATGTGCCTACATAACTCATATTTCCAGTAGCATATAAGGCTTTGACAATAAGGCCTATTAATCGAATCCATGGTCTTTCTATATATAGTCGGGCATCAACCCTGAATATAGGCATGTTTTCCTCCATGAGTGGTTGGAAAAAACTTATGGTGACCAATCTTCTATTTGGTGGATTCCAAATAGGGATGAGCATGATTTTAGGGTATAACATGGAATCGGAGAACCGGACCGGTAGGAACCTGTCCAATTCCAGGTTCCAAGGATGAAGGAAGGAACATAAAAAGACTATTTTTGCACATGATATATACCGATGTTTCACTACGTTTACTGTCAAATAAATTGGACGAGAATAACATTAGAATTCCGTTCTACATGTCAATAACAACCGGCATTGAAATAAAAGCAGAGGTTAGAGGAGGAAAATTACGTCTCTATTTCCTTTTCCACAGTTTCGCCCCTCCCTGAGTTAGGTATTGCGATTCCTTTCTATCTTGCCCTCTAACTTGATTTTGCGTCTGCTGCTCACTGGATTATAACTCAACATGAATCAAACACCAAACTCATTTGTATGCCTAGAAATTGAGTGCCAATTGCCCATGCTAATTCCATGGAACACATAATATGGCCACTCTAATCACAAAATAGTAACATAAACGAAAAGCATGTTTATGCCGTTCGATTTAGTGTTTCGATAGATTGCGAGCAGAATCCTCACATTGCTCCAAAGTCAGATTAAGAAGTCGATTCATTGTTCGTATATATGCACGAACGGCTTGGTCTACAAAAACTCGTCAAGTTCATTCAAATTCCGCCATGCGGAAGTTCCTTATGGTTCGTTTGGGAAGGAGAGAAGTAGGGAAATGAAACGGGTGTAAACAGTGGGCTAAAAAATTGAATTTATGTGAGGAGTGAAGAGAAATTTTCAAAAAAAAAATAATTCTGGTTTTCTTTGGCAAAAGTTCGACTTAGAGAAATAGTTGATGAGAATCATTTTATTTATGGGAAAAGTGTTGAAAAAGTCCTAAACTTTTTGCATTGGTGCAAATTTAGTCATAAACCTTTTTTTTTGTGCCAATTGAGTCTTAAACATTTTGTTTTTGTGCCAATTCAGTTCTTCCGGCTAATTTTGGCCGGATTTTGCTGACGTGGACGCTGGCCGGCCTACGTGGCGCCGTCCGCACTGACGTAGATAATTTTTAATAATATTTTAATATTTTATTGATTTTTTAATTTTTTTTCCTAATTTTTTTTTCTTTTTCTTTTTCTTTCTTCAACCTTTTTCTGGTGGCCGGCCATGGTAGGGTTGGCTGGCCTCGCCTGGGCGAGGCTGCCGTCGCTCGCCACAGGCGAGGCCTGGTGAGGGTCGGCCTCGCCCACGCCACAGCGGCCTCGACGAGCGTCGCCCAACCGAAGGCGATGCCCGGTGAGGCCGCTGTGGCCGGAGCGAGGGTCGACCTCACTAGATATGGCCTGGACGAGGCCAATCCTCGCCTGGCCTAGGCGAGGGCGAGCCCCGACAGAGGCTCCCCTCGCCATATCTGGCGGGGCCGACCCTCGTCAAGGCTCGCCCTCGCCTGGCCAGGTGAGGGCAGCCCGCCTAGCCATGGCCGATGACTAGCCATCGCACCGGTCACCGGCAATGGGAGGAAGAAAGCCAAAAAAGAAAAGGGAAAACAATAAAAAAATATTAAAAAAATCCATAAAATATTAAAATATTATTAAAAATTGTCCAGGTCATAACCGCCGGGCCTACATGGCACTGCCAGCATCCATGTCAGCAAAATTCAACCAAAATTAGCCAGAAGGACTAAATTAGCACAAAGACAAAATGCTTAGAACTCAATTGGCACTAAAAAAAATTTAGAACTAAATTGGCACAAATGCAAAAGGTTAAGAACTTTTTCAACACTTCTCCCTTTTATTTACATATGGGACATGTGAGTGAGTGCCTAGGATGTTGTGACTTGAGAGTGTCGCAAATTGGACCGGTAAATCGTCCATGGCCGCTCTAGACGCGCGATTTCATAAAACCGCAAGCTTCTACATGCTCAATTGGTTTGATTCCAGAGCGGGGAAACATATAAAATGAGCCACTCATCCATTTGGTTGACATAGCATGTCGCAAGACGTATGTATGAACGTGAAATTTCATGGAATGTCTCAGAACTTAAACTATTAGAGGAAGGCATTATTCAACTCAAATACTTTAATACTCCATTTCAAGCGTAGGCTGGATTTTGGTCTAAAACTAAAATAGGATAATATATAACCAAGGAGGCAAATAAGGCCTTTAAAGGTTTGAACATAGAATTTGCTGCTCTGATATCATGTGAAATTTGGTGAGAGTACATTCAAGTATTAAAAGTTTAAGTTATTTGAGGAAGAAAGGGTTTTATTTAAATACTTTGACAATCGCCTTTAAAATAACCTGACAGTAAAGCAAATGTAGGATGAACGAAATAAACCATGGCGAATATATATTTATTTATTCAAATCATAGGAAATGTTGAATGATCAACATAGATTAGTGACTAGGAGAATGTGGCGCGTCCCCACATATTGCTGTCGCCGAGTTGTCTGGAGGCCGACTAGCCGAGGTCCCACTAATCGTTTTGTTGTCTTCTGAGTCATCCAAAAGGTACGTCTCAACTCCCCAAAAATAAATGTAAGCGAGAACAAACCAGAGTATCAGACGACGGATAGGACGATGATTACTATGAAGTAAGGGAGGGTCCTCTAACAAATTAGCACCTGAGATAATGAGGAGGAAAACGAGTCCCAAATAAAATACGGTGTTTGCAAGCCAATGAAGTTTGCCAACGGTCAAGGTGACACCAGTTAAGAAAGCCACAGACATAGCTGGGAGTGCAATTGCTAGCGGCAGTTCTGAGTGGTCGTATGCAGATATCGCGGCTTCAATGTCATAATGCTGTGCCCAGTTGAGGTTGATGACTGCGGTCATTGAGCAGAACATTGCGATGGTGTTGCAAATTGCGAAGGCCTGGAACAATCTCTTGTCCAGCATAGTAGCCATGCCCCGATCATCTTTAGAGGCCGTGTCCGAGCCGTTAAATCCTCCAGGGACTGCAAAACCAGCTGCGAAAGTCACAGTGGCCACAAGCGTTGCCACCAGCAGGCGGGTATTAATCACATCCTTCACCTGGTCCTCTTTCAGCTTCTGTTGGCGCAAGGAGTATATTGCAAAGTCTTCATTTCGAGCTTCCGGCCTAAGTACGAGTAAGTCTGTGCTTACAGCTCCACATCCCTCAAATGTCAAGGACATCAACACCATGAATGTCAATCGCTGGGATCGGGATCATATAAGAAGATAAAAAAAGAACAAATTGTTACCATATCGATAACGGGAATGAACTCGAGAGTACTCATTTAACGGGAAACTTTTACTTCTAGACATGCAGTGTCTGTTCCTTTTAAAGAATTAACACTAGAGTACAAGTCCTTTTTAGAAGGAAGAAGAGGCATGAATGAAATGTATATGGTTTGTCGTTGTCATAGGTTGACTTTAGTATAATGTTACGAGATTATGCCATATCTAGAGTGGTCAAAACTTGCCACATTGACCCCTGGCTTTTTGAAAAAGAAAAAAGAAAAAACAATGCGACGCTGCCGATTAATCAAGAAGTATAATAATTTATCTATGCATTTATCAGAGATATTTAACTTGTTTCTACCCGCGGACATATTCCTGGCCACGAGCTTTAACTACCTCCTGTTAAGACTAAATTAGAAATTTTGAGGACATTAACCCTAAAGGAGTCTCGGCTATTCTAGAAAATTGATCAATGCTTCAACAATGCTATCGACAGTGAAACATAATGATTTGAATACGAGATCTGCACTTAACTAAGGTATTAGTCTATGGAAATTTTCAATAAGTTGATAAATGAAATAGTGACTATTCATGTTAACTATTCGTGTTACCTACCCTCCGCAACGTACGCTCCCTTCTGTAGCGATCTAGAGCAATGTCAAGAGCAGTCAAGCATTCATGGTTCATCCGGACGGGATTAATTCTTTCATCCAACCTAAGAGGAATCAAAGCGGCGGGTTGTGCATACATCGCTGCCAAGTGCGAAGGTGTATTTCCAGCATGATCTCCATCATATATCAACATATCTGAATATGGACGTCCCAGTATATATCTCACTGCTGAAGTTCTCCCATATTTTGCTGCCACATGAAGAATGTTTTGTCCTCGCCCGTTCAGCAACGGTGATACCGGAAGTAGCTTCTCGATTAGATCAACATAACCCATCTTGCTCGCAATATGAATGGGAAGATCCCCATTCATATCCCGTTGTTGGGCCAAATATTCAGTTTCCGGTCTCAAGAATTCGAATGCTCGGGCCATATTCATGTAAGCTGCTAAATGGAATATATTACCGCCTCTGGAGTCGGTCATTGCAAATAGCTTCATGTTCTTTTTGAGTATCAAGGCGACCAAATCTAGAATCAGGAGCACCAAATTAAGAATAAAAATATCTTCGACGTAACCTTAATCACTACTAGGATTGATAGTCGCCAACGTTGGATAACATTGCAATGCTGAAACTAGTAGTGATAATTTTGATTGAATATGAAAGCCTTGATCTTGCTCAATTTATGGCTTTTGTCCGTTTTGATTTTCATGGCATTATTCTTACTTGATCTACACAGTGATGATGACATGAGGTTTTCGAAGTAAAACTTTAATACATGTAGCATTACTCCCTCATTTATACACATACATACATGACTTGTGAGAATTTTGTATTTCTAAAACTATCCTTGTATTACACCTACAACTACTCACTTACCGCTATCTTTATACATTGCCATCTAAGTAAACGCGTCTTTATTGGAGAATTAGGACAGATTTATTCAAATGTTGAAAGTCCTATATAGTTTGGGACGTATTCGATGATTTATAATTGGGAAATCTAATACCGAACCTAATATGTATCAATTACTAAATGCTCTTACTTCCTTGATATTTCTTAGGCTGTTTAATCATTAAGTATGCATATTCTAACTCTACTAGGATTTGAGACGGTTTTAAGATTAACCCAATAGGTATATCTGATACCTGTATATGATAAATCATTTGCCAAATTAAATTTACTAGTTACGAAACTAAAGATATAATTTTGTGAAGGGTGGGGCTATTTCCACCTTCGTTTTGGATGAACCACACCTTTGTATTTGAAGTGACAAAAAACATCTTTATGCTATCGATAGTCAATCAGGTAATAATGAATATTACTGACTATAACCACGTTTCTTTCTCCTCGCCCCTCTCTCTTATAGAGTTCACTTTCCTTTACGGTTACATTTTGCGTTTCTACTATTCTCTTCGTCCTGTCTTTTTCCTTTTCTTATCAAATAACAACAGAATTTGTTTTTGTCTTCATCCAAATATTAGGTCAAAATATTATCTTTATTTGTGTTTTTATGTGATCTAGTTATCTAATAGTGCCTTCGGCACGTTATAACTAATACCGCACATAATTGTACATACTACATTTGTTAATAAGAGATTTGACTTGATAGTTTTATTAGGAGAGTAACGGTGTAATACTCAGGTTTTGCCCCCCTTTTAATTAAATTGATGCCAGTGTGAAAGTTTGTTTCATTCAAATAATATTCAGGAATAATAAGGGGAACCAAATTTGATGCCCAAATCTGTGTATAATGCAATATGTATATAGATCATAATTTTATAAAAGTATAATGTATTTATACTAATATTCGTTTTATGAAAGGCCACAGCCGCACAGCCCCAATCTTCTTTGCAACCGGATAAACAAAGTCATCACTCGTCAGGTTACTGTGGAATAATTTTTTGGTTAAAATCGGTCCGTCACGTTTTCAAATTAACGGTCTCGTCCTCTTCTCGTTTTCCTTCACTTTTTCCCTTGACACTGTACCCTCTTCTTGTTCTCCTTCACTTTTTTCCCTCAATACTATGAGATTTGATGGGACTACTACCACCTGTTCTAAACGCTTAAGCTTTTAAATGAATGTGTGGTTTAATATTTAATTACTATAACACTCCCCATCACGCTTAATCTGGTCTTTTTACCTAGTACTAAATGTGGACATATTTAATTGGGGAGGCAAATGGGATCTGGAAAAATTCGAACTCAGGACGTACAGCTCTGATATCATGTGACCACTGTCAACTGTTCTAAAATTTAAGCTTTTAGATAAAGGTGCAGTTTAACATTTAATTACTCTAACAGACACGACTTGCGTTTTATACAATGAAACGTAAGAAGAAAAAATTGGTTTTTATATTTTAGCTTTCTAAAATCTGATGTGTAAGTCATCCGGTGCTCTACAAAGTGTATTGTGGCCGTGGTGGGTACGTTACTGACAATGAGAGTAACGGACCGTCACCCGCTCAATCTCCTTAGTAAAATGGTTGGTGTCTGCAAATTTAAGCTGATCTATTGTGTTCTAATGTGAGATAGTTTGTTCACTAAAAGAATTATATGGCTGGTTGGGAGAACCCAATGGGTATCCAACTACTTTTTTTTTTTTTTGGTCGAAACTACTTTAATAAGCGGGGTTTGAAATTTTATGTGAAAACCTGTAACAGGTTTGGGTAAGGGCAAAAAGTTGCTGCACGGATTTGAAACGAGGTCAATCTACGCATATATTTTTGCAATAAACAGATTTAGGTACTTACTTAAGTTTTCACGCGTGATGGCACCATGAATGGGCGGCAAGCCTTGTATCTTCGATGGTTCGAGCGGGAGCGAAAATAAAACCTCATGTATCTCGGGTTCTTCGGATTCAATGGCCATATACAGGGGAGACATCTGATTCGCGCTCTTCCAGTACACGGGCTCCAAATCTTCGTTCAATAGATGGCGCACCCCGTCTACGTGATAATTAAGCACAGCCTCGTGCAAAGCGGTGTTTCCATCTATGTTCTTCATCCTCAGGATCTGGTTCTTGTCCTCCACGTTGGGGAGGTCTCTTGTCCTGCGAATCAATATCTCAGCAGCTCTAGATCCCTTAGCCTCAGTCGCCAGGTGGAGGGGGGTATCTCCCCTTTCATTTTGGGCAGCTATGAGATGGACAGGGACATAATCAAGCAAGAGCCTCAGGATGTCGTCCTTGCCGGCTCTTGCAGCATCGTGGAGCAGGGAAGTGCCCGATACTCTCCGGAAATTGAAAATGGCAGACGGATCGGTTTGATTGGCAAGCTTTTCGATCGCAGAAATGAACTCTTCGACATCGGCGTCCTTGATGACATCCGCCAGTCTTTGAGCAGCGGCACGCACTTCTGCTGGATCTTGTCGCTCCGCGTTTCGCACGGCTGCCAATGCATTATTGATTCTCTCCCGTCGACTCCTCCAGATTTCTTCTTCCTTGGAAGAATCTATTTCATCCTCTAACATTTCCTTGAAAGCTCCTCCATCATCCTTCTTGACCTCCTCCTTGATCGGGTTGCTCGTGCCAACGTTCTCCTCTGCTATAGATATCTCCACGTCCATCCAGTCTAGGCTATGCAAGTAACGTAGATATTGCAAGGGAACAGGGGTTGTGTAAGGAGACGTTATATCATTGAAATATTAAACGATAGATTCAACTAATAATTTAAACTTTCATAGTAGTCTATAGCGGTCCTACAAAGTTGTGTATGCCATCGGAGCAAATAGTTCCGAGTTTCAAATTGCCGGGTAAGATTGCGGAAGCGTGAATAAATACAAACGGTTTGCTGCGAGAATATAAATGCAAGAAATGAATAAGACGCCACGGACTTGTGTCGTGGTTCGGCTGAGCATACCCTAATCTCAAATTTTAGGGCAAATCTAAACCCAAGTATGAAAATGAGTACTATTAGGTCATTTACATATCAAAACTTCTCAAATTTTCAAAACAATTCGCGGTGATCCTATGAAATTGTGCCGATTATTTGGAGTTAAATCTTTGAAGTTAAATCCTAGAAATTAATAATTTATTTTTATGCATCTTCGATAAGAAAAAAAAAAGAAAAGAAAAGAAAAGAAAGGTCCGTCGTATCATCATTTGATGATTCAACTTACTCTAAGCGTTCACATCAAGCTATCCAAAAGCCGCCCACATCTTATCCTCTTTTCCTCTTTTTATTATATCTCTGGCCCACGTCCTCGTTCCCACATGCTTTCCGTTTTTGGAAAATTCCCGATTGGTCCCACCGCCCGGATTTTATCCTCTTTTCCTTTCTCTCTCTCTCTCTCTCTGGCCAAAGACCTAGTTCTCTTCTAGCTTCTTCCTTGACAACTTAATCGATCAGATAATTAGAATATACACAAAACTGGCAACCATAATTTATCGCCCTTTTTCCCCGCATGTAACCAACGTTCGTTTAAAAACTGTTATGAATCGAGACCATCTATATAAATCGAAGATTTTGACTTTATCATATCATGAGATTAATAGAATGTTTCATGTACCTTCGAATAGGTTAATCGGCTTATCCAATCATATAAATATTCTCGCTTTTTATACCTGCATTAATTTGCATTTCAATAGAACAAGTTGTGTACTCACTTATGCGAATCCACTTCACCAGCATCAATTAATGTTTTGGTCCTTTTGCTTATGGAATTAAATTAAAGATTGCCCTCTTACTTATCTAGATTCACCCACAAAAGACCTTCACTCGACATCAACTAGTGCTCAGCCATGATAAACATGATCATATAATTACGCCATTCACAAGACAGTCTCTTGTTCAGTAAGGAGGCCATCCAAACGCAAAATCATTAAAAAGCAATTGAGTAACTATCATATTTTAGAGGGATGATTTTACTATTCCATTTTAAAAGACAAATTTTTTCCGTGTTGATAGATTTTTAAAAGAATTTGTAAGTATTAAATGTTATTGGTAAAAAAATTACGAGTTACCTGATTTCCAAGTAACATGTTGTAACTTAGTAGCACTTTTATGAAATTACCAACTTTTTTTTAGATAATTTGCAAATTATCGCTTTTACATATTTTTAGAATTTTCTCAGTGAACATGTAAGGTTTTCTTTTCTGGGTGGACTGCAAATTCAAATTATGCTCTAAACAAAATTCAGATGGCCAGATTTTTCAGGGCAATCTAGAAGCTGCGGTAAGGCAGAATTAGCAGTAACTAAATGCGGATCAAAATTAGCTAATCCAAAGAATTCGAAGTTAATAGAAAAAATGATTATCTAGCTAATTGTAACTGCAAAAAGAACATGTGATTGCGAGCAGGCAATTTGAATACTTAAGTGTGCATGCATAGTTCGGTAAGCAACAAACTTATGACATTGGAGGATCCTCAAAAGAAATCAATCTCAGAAGACAAGAAAACCAATGACAAAACCGAGATCTAATATAATGTGGTGCACACGAAGAACATCAAAGAACAGAAGCAAAGAGTCGAGAGATCAAAGAAACAAAACCTGAAGGGAAAAAGAAGGGCAGGACTCGAGAAGAAGAATATGGTGTTGGGAGTGGAGGACGATGCTGATGCTGATGCTGATGCTGATGCTGATGCCCCGGAGTCGAAAGTCCGATAGTTATAGGACTTGAAGCTGAGTATCCCTATTTCCTCGACAATGATTGAAGTGAAGTAACAAAGATATGAGGTTGCTCCGTGTAATCAAACTTGACGATAAAGCTACTTTAGGTGCATGATGGCTGGTCACACTCAATTGTTGCTTCGCCTTTACAGCTGGTGAAGAAAGACCAGCAGCAGGGGGGAGAGAGAGATGGGTGCCTCTTTGTTTCACCGAAAGCTTGTTGTCACTGGAAAATATTTTCAGAAAAATTTAATTTCAGACAAAATAATTTTTTTTCGTGTTTGTCTGTGCCAAATCAGGTTAAGAAAAATTAAGTTTATGGTGTTTGATAAACAGCTGAATCCACTCAAATGCTTTTACATAGTCTAATTTAAGCTAATTTATCAAATACAAATTACCAAGAAATCGGGGAATGATTTCCTTCTAACCCATAAGGGGAAGCTGTTTTTCTGAATATAAACTTGTTATTTTCAACCCACAAAAAACGCCTTCTGTAGATCGACTAATTTTTCATCGTCTAAACACCGGAAAATCGAAAAATAATTTTCTTAAACAGTTTTCGCTCAAACAAAAAACGCCTTCTGTAGATCGACTAATTTTTCATCGTCTAAACACCGGAAAATCGAAAAATAATTTTCTTAAACAGTTTTCGCTCAAACGTAGGACCTTTGGTCTGTCTCTAAAATCTTGTTATTTTTGTTTTGGTGAAAAAGGTTGCTTGAGAGCAGATTGTGAGATATTGGAAAGATGCTGCCACTCAATAAGTCGATATCCTCCATCACAAATATTAATTTCCCCAAATTGTTAACTTAGATGCTGTCTTTTTGGTCGACCCTTGTCATACGTCAATTTACTAAGAAGGTTGTCATGTTTTGATTTTTTTGAGGGCAATGTCAACATTAATCTCTGATCAAAGAGGTGAATTAACAAAACTGTGATGGTAGAATTACACTTTACTTGCATGTAATGCATGTAGTCGATACACAGATGTTATTAAACACAATCAACCTCACATGACATCTATTCCATTTAAAAGGCCTTCTAGTTATATATGCTTATGATTCATGCGATAATGGTTGATTTCTTTTTAAGGGATCAAATCGAATGTTGATGACTTTATGTCAGCGATGAAGATGGGATTAATGTGGAGATGGAATGTGGAAATTAAAGAAAATCGGCCAGAGGCTTACGTTCATTCAATGAAAGTCTAATTTATCATTCTCAAGAAGAGTAGAGAGAGACCTGAGAGGCTGAGACATAGACCAAGGTCGCGTGCACGTGAGACAAGTCGTGGCACGTGCGGGAGATGGCCAAATTAGGCGAGGGTCAGATCTAGGCGACCGCCACCAATGGCGGCCCTCGGCCAAGTCTAGGCGAGGGCCGACGACCCTTGCCCGATCTGGGGGAGGGCCGGCGACCCCTAGCAGGGGCCCGGCGACCCCCGCCCGTCGTCCCCCCACCCTCACTGGCCCCTCCCAGTGATGGTGGGGCGGCGGTGGCGGTGGTAGAGAGGGCAAGCCCTCCCCATCCGTCCTCCTCCTCCTTTTTTTTAATAATAATTTTAGCTTAACTTTAAATTTTAATTTAAATAAAATTAATATTAAAAATAATAATAATAACCACGTCATCACCATGTAGGATAGAAAAATAATAAAAAGGCCACGTTAGCATTCTCCTTTAGCCAAATTGGACGGTGTTAACTTTAGGACTCAATTGAACCAATTTGATAAGTTTTGTGATTTGATTGCATTTTTTGTCAGTTTTAAGACTCAATTGCACTTTCGTGATAAGTTTTAGAACTTCTGATTAACATAACCCTAAAGAAAATATAACTATTTCAATTCACTTGATATTGGCATCGGAGTACTTTCAGCTGTAGTGAGTGTTTATTTTCCACATGTTATTAACAAAGCACGATAATTTACGTATATATTGGATTTTTTATGGTGACAGGAAATTGAAAATGGCAGACAGATCGGTTTGATTGGCAAGCCTTTCGATCTTAGAAATGAGCTCCTCGACGTCGGCGATGCATTCAAGTCTTTGAGCAGCCGCAAACACTTCTGCTGGATCTTGTCGCTCCGTGTTTCGCGCAGCTGCCAATGCATTATTGATTCTCTCCCGTTGACCCCTCCAGATTTCTTCTTCATTCAAAGAATCCATTTCATCCTCTAACATTTCCTTGAAAGCTCCTCCTTCATCCTTCTAGATTGAGTTGCTCGTGCCAACGTTCCCCTCAGCTATAAACATCTCCACGTCCATCGAGCCTAAGCTATGCAAGTAACGTAGTTATTGCAAGGGAACAAGGGTTGTGTAAGGAGACGTTATATCATTGAAATATTAAACAATAGATTCAACTAATTATTTAAACTTTCGCAATAGTCAATAGGGGTCCTACAAAATTGCGCATGCCATTAGAGCAAATAGTTCCGAGTTTCAAATTATTGGGTAAGATTGCAGAAGCATGAATAAATACAAACGGTTTGCTGCAAGAATCACTACAAGAAAACATCTTTTTTCCAACGAAATTTCCAACGAAAAATTGGGAAAAATTCGTTGGAAAACGAATTTCCGACGAAATTTCCAACGAAAAAAAATTCGTTGGTAATTCTTCGTCGCAAATTTTTCCAACGAAAAATTTCAATTTTCGTTGGAAATTTGCGACGAAATTTTTTTCATTGGAAAATTCAACAAAAAAACAACTTTTTTCCAACGAAAAATTTGGAAATCCAACGAAATTTTTTTTTGGTCAAAAAATCGTGGCAAAATTAGTTTCGTCGTGAAATCATGCAAGCGAGGGCCAGCCTCGCCGCCGGTGAGCTCGCCGGCCATGGCGAGCTCGATCCTCGCCATGGCCGGCGAGGGCCAGCCTCGTCGCCGGCAAGCTCGAGGTCGCCCAGATCTGGGCGAGTTCTGGCCGACCTCGAGCTCGCCGGCCATGGCCGGCAAGGCCCAGC